AAAAAAAAAAGAAAAAAAAAAGAAAAAAAAAAAGAAACCCAACTCAAACGTCCAGATAAATATTTTTCTTGGTAGTAGGCAAGTCAAGCGGGCAAAGTTATCAAAGTTAACTCATATGTGTCCCATGAAATAGAAAGCACCGCAACTGCCCAACAACAATTAAATTCTTTTGACTTTTTCTCTCCAAAGTTTTCTCATGCAAGAACACCATAGAATTATTTACTAATTTTAAATTGATTTTTTTCTAATAACTTTCTTTGAATGGTTTTTTTTTTTTGGTTTTTCTACCAAAATTTTATTATTTTCCATTAAAAAATACATTGAGCCTCTTGTGGGCCGGGCCCTAAGTAGGCCTTAAGCGGGCCCACGGGCCGAGCCCATCTTGGGCCGCGGGCGGGCTTCAGGCCACCCACAAGCCACGGGCCATTTTTACACCCCTAGTCCGCTCATGGAAGACAATGTTATGTGCAATCTAAATAGCACTACGATTGTCACAATAGAGGAAGATCGGAGAAGACTAAGGAACGCCCAAGTCAGAGAGAAGACAACGAAGCCAAACAACTTCAGCAGTAGCATGAGCCATAGCACGATACTCAGCTTCGGCAGTAGTACGAGCAACAACAATTTGTTTCTTGCTTTTTCAAGAGATCAAGGAATCTCCAAGAAACATACAGAAACCAGACGTAGACTTACGATCAGTAACATCACCAGCCCAATCAAAGTCAGCATAGGCTACCAAGTCCAAAGTGGAAGTAAAGGACAATAATAAGCCCTGAAAGATAGTACTCCTGAGATAGCGAAGAACGCGAACCAAAGCAGCCTAATGGGTAGAGCGAGGAGAAGAAACGAACTGACTAACCACATGAACAACATAAGCAAGATCAGGACGAGTGACAGTCAGATAAACCAAACAACCCACAAGCTCGCGATATAAAGTGGGATCATCTAGAGGAACATTATTAGTAGAGTTAAACTTCACATTAAGCTCAATAGATGTATCAAAAACCTTAGTATCAGTAAGACCAGCACGATGAATGACTTCATTAGCATACTTAGCCTGAGATAGAAAATAGTCCTTGGGAGAAGAAACAACCTCAATACCAAGAAAATATCGTAATGGACCCAGATCCTTCATTTCGAAGGTGCGGAAGAGATGTTGCTTGACCTCAGAGATAGCAGAAGAGTCCGAGCCAGTCATGATCATATCATTCACATAGAGTAAGAGAGCAACAAAACCAGCTGAGGTATGTCGTAGAAATAAAACAGAGTTAGAAGCAGAAGGATAAAACCCGAGCTCGATAACAACAGTCTGAAAGCGATCATACAAAGTACGAGGAGACTGCTTCAGACCATACAGAGCATGCCGAAGACGACAAACATGACCAAAGGGATGACGGAGGCCAGGGAAAGGACGCATGTAAACCTCCTCAATGAGATGGCCATTAAGAAAAACATTCTTAATATCCATCTGATAAAGAGGCCAAGAACGAAGAGTAGCGACAGAGATCAAAGTACGGACAATAGTCATTTTGGCAATAGGAGCAAATGTCTCCTCATAGTCAATACCACACTCCTAAGGGAAACCTTTGGCAACCAGACGAGTTTTGTAACGCTCAAGAGAACCATCAAAATGAGTCTTGACTTTGGTAGACCTATTTGCAACCAACCAGGTTCTTACCAGCAGGCAAAGGAACCAATTTCCAAGTACTAGGTTTCTATAAGGTAGATAACTTATCCTCCATAGCTTGAACTCAATGAGGATCCTGACAGGCCTACTTGTAAGACTGAGGTTCTACAAAAGAGTGAATAACAGACAAAAAGGTACGATAGAAAGCAGAAAAACAAGTATTAGACCAACCCAATCTGTTTGGAGGATGATGTGCTCGAGGAGGATATCGGTATGCAGTGGGATCAAAGTCGTCAGAAGCAGGGAGAGCAGAAGCAGGGGTAGAGACAACCAGTGGAGGAGAAGCCTTGCGACAAGAACAAACTAACAACGAAGGAGGAGAAGAAGTAGCCAGAGGTGTAGAAGGAGAATATGGAACAAGCTCAGGGAGAACAATGGAGATGTACTCATCAGACGAGACCTCAGAAGGAAATGGGTCAACGTAAACCAAATCCTCTTTGAAAACTAGAGCAGTGAGAGGGGGAAGTTGAAAGTAAGACAGACGTTCGAGAAATGCAACATGACGGGAGACATAAAGGCGACGGGAGACAGGATCGTACCAACGATAGCCTTTCTGAGTAAGATTGTAACCCAAAAATACACATAAGACAGACCGGGCACTGAGTTTGGTTCTATCTTTACAGGAAAGGAGGACAAAACAAACAGACCCAAAGACGTGCAAGAGGGAATAATTGGGAGGTTGGGAATACAGAGCCTTATAAGGGGATTAACCGGAGAGTAAGGGAGTCGGCATGCGATTAAGGAGGAAAGCTACGGTAAGAACTGCCTCACTCTAGAATGGTGCCGAAATAGAAATAAGAAGAGATCGAGTTGTCTCAAGGAGTTGACGGTGTTTACGCTCAGCACGACCATTTTGGGCAGGGGTATCAGTACATGAGGTTTGGTGAATAGTGCCCAATTTGGCCAAACACTTACAGAATTCAGTTTTAAAGTATTCCCCGCCCAAGTCAGACCAGAATATTTTAATTGTGGCCCCAAACTGTGTAGTGATCATAGACTGAAAGATACAATATATCTGGTAGAAGTCAGACTTATGAGTCATAAGATAAACTCAAGTGTAACGGGTGCAATCATCAACAAATGACACATAGTATGCAGAATCCCCATTGGTGAGAGCAGGAAAAAGGCCCCAGACATCAGTATGAACTAAAGAAAATGGTGTAACAGATATAGAAGTACTGTTACAAAAAGGTAAGGCTGTCATTTTGGCAAGTTTACACTCCCGACACTCGGTAAGTTGACTATGAGAAACTTTACCCAATATACCTGACTGAGCTAAAGACCGTAAGTGGTCAGCGGACAAATGCCCTAATCTAGAATGCCTCAAATAGAAAGGACTGGACAGAAAATCTAATTGAAAAGAAGAAAAGGCAGTCGGAGAGCTAGTCATAGGCAGATGCAAGCTCTCCATCACATAGAGGTCTCCAACTCTACGGCTAGTCCCAATCTGCTGCTTGGACATCCGATCTTGCATAGAATAGATAGAAAAAGAAAATATAACATCAAAACGAGAGGCATCAAGTTGACTAATAGATAACAAACTGACAGATAACTGAGGAACACATAAGACAAATGGAATAAAGACTGCAGACATAGCAGACGGTAGGACAGACCCAACAGATATAATTGACATACCAGACCCATTAGCAGCATTAACAGTAATAGGAAAGGGAGGGGAAGTACAATTCTGAAGTAAAGAGAGATGAAAAGTCATATGATGAGAGGCACCAGAGTCAAAAAGCCAGACAGACGAAGAGATACCTGAAGAAGACCCAAGCAAACCTGAATGATGAGATGAAACAACGGAGACAGATGGAGATGGCTGGGAGGTAGACAATACATGCTGAAGTTGACTAATCTGAGCAGTCAAGGAAGCCAAATCAAGATCAGGAGTCGGAGCAGATGCAACATACGCAGTGGGAGGAGCCCGGAATTGGTTCTGAGATTGCTGAAAAAATAATGCAGGCTGACGTCCCTTCTTGGGACAGTGGTACTTCCAATGGCCCTTCTAATGACAGAAGACACACTCATCAAAAGCTAGAGACATCGTAATAACCAGAAAACTGGGGGGTTAAAGTGTAATAAACCCTATATTCAACAAAATAGCCAAACCAGGGGTCAAAGGGTAAAACACAAAAATCTAATGAGGTAAAGCCAATAAATCCAAAACCATAGTGTAATAATCAGAAGAGTGTTAGGTCTAAATGTAAAATACAATAACCAGTTTTTTTTTTTTTTTTTTTTTTTTTTTTTAACCTTGACCCACAAATATTAACTAGAGTTTTGAAGCTAAAAGAACCAGTCTGAAGCCGAGAGAACCAAATCAGAGAAGAGAGAGAGAGATTGAAGCCGAAGTCAATGAAGAGGGAGATTGAAGCCCAAGAGAGGAGTTGCGAACCAGATGGGTTTGTTTGAGTTTTTTTCGGATTTTTGGTTCGGTACGATTGCGACTCTGATCGCTCTCCTCACGACGAAGAAGAAGACGATTACGACGTAGTTGGTGGTGCCCGCTAGGGTTTTGTAGCGTCAATGGCTCCGACGCGTGAACGTGGAGCGAAAGGAGTGAAAGGGAAGAGTGAGTTGTGTCTCGGTGATCTAGTTCTCACCAAGGTCAAGGGAACTTCGATTGATCAGAGAACTTTGATCAGAGAGCTTTGAGAACCAAATTTGATCAAGGGAGAAGATGACCCACAACTCACACAGAGACTGAAGGGGAAGACAATTTCTAGGGTTCTGGTGATGGCTCTGATACCATGTAAGATTCCTGAAAGCTTTTCTATATATTCAATTGTACCAAAGATTACAATCGTCAAAGATTACAATCAGACCTTAGATTATATAGCCCTAAATCCTAAACCAAAAAGGAAAATACAATTATGTCTCTAATAGGACTCTAACACAGACCTTAGATTACATAGCCCTAAATCCTAAATCAAAAAGGAAAATACAATTATGTCTCTAATAGGACTCTAACACAATCATGCCTCTAATAGGACTCGAATTTGTACAACCACAATCATATAGAAAATACACACAATATATTCTCACAATATAAACTTAAAAATATTTAAGAAAGTTAAAAATATCATAGGAGGTTGTATTATCTTGGAATAAACTTACGCTGAAGCATCGAGGATCGGTATTTCAAGGGTTTGAGGCCAGAGGTAAAGGTTTGCAACTTGTTTTTTAATAGTCTCCTGTAAGAAACATGGAAAAATCCGTAGATATAATAATAACACAATGCTTGAAAAATCACAACAACCAAACTCCTAATGCTATGTTTGAATCTTGGATTTGTGGAGGGAAAACAAAAGGGAATTACTATTTCATTCACTTTTCCCTTCACTTTTCTTTTCCCTCCACAAATCCAAGATCCAAACACAGCCTAAAGAAAACCAATATCGTTCCCCAGACATCCCAAATTTTGGACAGTAAAATAAAACCCCAGTGCCTACCCATGAAGGAATCACCAATGCAGCACCTGAACAAATCGGTAAAGGCCAGGTATGGACATAATATCCCCTCCCAGTACTTTCATTCCAAAATCCACGTGTGGCTACATGCAACAAATAATGATTCATAAACATTAAAATAAAAAAAAACAAAAAAAAACTAGGCAATCAAATTTATGTCCATTAATGCAAGATTGGCAATCAAATTTTCTGCTTACCTTCTCCATCAAAGATACCACAATGTTTGCAAAACATGGAAAACTAGGCACGAGAGGTTTCAAAGTTATCCGTGGTGCAGCAAATATTTGTAGATCCACTAACTGATAAGAAGTATAATCAATCCTCCTGGAGAAACAAATCCTCTTTATTGGAACTAAAAACAAGCATTAGGGCTCTTCTGACCTGAACTGTGATCCTCACAGACAACAATTTTACCACCACAATTACGTTTGGATTGCCAGCCCATTTAATAGCCGGTTCCATGACTAGTTCTTTCTCATTAGTCTCGTAGATTTTAAGACCTGCCAAGTCGTAAAACAATGAAAAATTGAATCAATCTAAATCAAGGTCAATGTCTGATGTTCGATCCCTTAGTCAGAACAAGGAATGAAGCAATGCTGGACAAAGTACAGTTTCATAAGACTTTTGGACCACAAAGTGCAGAAACAATATATTAAAATAAATGTGGAGAAAACTGACCCTGAAATGTAGGAGGAAGAGTTCCAAGGCTTAGATTCTCAAACTCAATTGATTCTATTTGATACTTCCCAACGTATTCTGCAAATATTGGTTGTGCAATAGTTCTTATCTGACCACAAATTGCCTGCACATTGCACAAAATTAAGCCTAATATCTTTAATAATAAATTAAATTTTATGTTCAAAATTCACTTTTTAAGCCTCAAAATCACCTTGTCAAGGTAAGGCCACATATCCAAAAGAAACTTGTTTAACCAGTCTACCTGCACAGTCAGGCAAAAAATTCCATAAAGTAAGGCAATTTCTAAGCAAATGCATGGCTCTCGAGTGTAATCGTCCGAATGGTAAAAGCCCTTAAGGCATGATGTTAAGAACATACTATCCCCTCCCCAGGATAGTTCTTCGTTTCCTATCCTGATTAAATGAAGTTCTTATGGATACAGAAATAGAACAACTTATATGAAAGCTGGAAAGGTAAAGCATACTCGATCATAATCCGGACTCTTCACCCAGCATGGAATCTCAGGGAGAATGTCTTGCAAACCAGTTGTATCCAGCTCATGAAGAGGCCTAATAACTGGATCCTGTAATTGGTTAATTCGGCTGGGAATTAGAAATCCAACCGTGCTGGGGACCCCCAGTGGGGGTGACCCCAGCACCCCCAGTCCACACGGGGCATTGTGATTGGCAGATAGAAAAAAAAAAAAAAAAAAAAAAATTTCAGCTCCAATATTGCATAATTCAAGATTACAAGATACAAGGAAAACATTTAAGAAAGTTATTTTCAAAGGCTTTTCTTTTTTCTTTTGGTGCATTATCAGGAATACATTTTTTTAATTAAGACTCTGAAGCGAGGAAATGTGAGAATGATCATAATTTAAAATTCAAAAAAAAAAAAAAAAGTATGAGTAAGGATAAGACAACTGATGAACCATTCATCGCATCGTAAATAGAATTTGAAATGCATTGATCTTACTCTACAAGTTCAGAGTGTACATTTGACACCGAAGCACTAATTTCATTATATGTAGAGGATTGATACATTAGATAGGAAAATATCATTCTTGAATATCGTTCTAAGGTCTCCAATCAATTGTGGTAAACGCTACAATTTCTGGGATAAATTTGTTCTATAAAGGATAAATTTATCCTCAATGGAAAATGGAACATAAAATAGGAAGTTTCTCCAGAGATACTTTTCCTCCCCAAATAAAGCCAAAAAATAAAATCAGTCAACAAATGACACTTAACAAAATTATGAGGACCCTGCAAAATAAGAAAAGAGAAAAGAAAGAAGAAAAAAACAGACGTGTGATATTGACTGGAAAAATTGAATATATTGTCAAAGTGAAAGCAATCACCAATTTTAAATGCAAGATTGAACTGGTCGAAGCAAAATCATAAATGTCTAACAATTATGGAACAGTATCTAAATGATATAAGAGTTAAATTAGTTTGTAGAAGAATGATAAGATAAAATAAATTTAAAATAAGATTAATGCTTCAATAATTCAATTAAAAAGTAAACCATAAGGGGTTAACCAGGTAACAAGTTAACTTGTGATGAGTGCCTTGGAAGCATAGATCACGAGTTCGAATCCCATGAAACTTTTCATACCCTTGAAACCACCCAGGGCCAGATTGGTATGTGTGGACGGGGCGCATGAATGGGGACTAGTTAGGCCACTCCCTTGAGGCCACCAAAGGCCTGTACCCAGTAATTACCCGGTATGTGTGGGATGAGGGTGCAAAATCATTATTTCAAACTTTGACAGACTCTATAAAAGCAGAAAGTTCAAAAAGACTGAAAATGTCTTCTAGAAGCATCCGATTAAATACTAATTTCAACATAATATATGAACACAAAACAATAAAAATCCCAAAATCATTTTCACAGAATACAAATAACCTGATACAAGAATTGGATGGTAAGCAATGAAAGAACCAAAATCGAAGACTGTCACCGTTAGAACCAGAAATGCAAGGAAAAATAAAATCATTATTTCAAACTTTGACAGACTCTATAAAAGCAGAAAGTTCAAAAAGACTGAAAATCTCTTCTAGAAGCATCCGATTAAATACTAATTTCAACATAATATATGAACACAAAACAATAAAAATCCCAAAATCATTTTCACAGAATACAAATAACCTGATACAAGAATTGGATGGTAAGCAATGAAAGAACCAAAATCGAAGACTGTCACCGTTAGAACCAATACCCAGATCATGAAGGAGAACTAATCGATCAAATGCTTCAATAGATTATAGCTAAATGCAATGATAAACAAGAACCATAAGCTTATATCTTTTCATCAATCAAATGCTTGTGGATCTCTTCTCATGCGATGATCAGACAAGAACTATGAGCTTAAATTGATGTATGTAAATCTACACATCGTTACCTCAACATCTTTGGGCTCGGAGTAGACGAAGAAGTAAAACCCAATCAAAAGTCCAATCGGAAGTCCAATCCCAAAGCCAAGAATTCCCAAGATGATGCTCAGAAAACCCATTTGTGCTAGCCAGCCAAACTCCAAGAAACAGAGGAGATTAGACTGGGAAGAAGAGGGAAAATCAAGAGAAGCGAAGTGAATTCAAAGGGTGGAAAATCAATGAATGTAGAGTAGAGACAGAGAAAGGGAATAGAAGCGAGAGAAAAGAGAAAAATTTTCCAGGGAAGCGAGGTGAGGGCGACAAAATCTAAGAAAATTTACTACGGAACGTAACGAAAAAGAGTCCCAGATGAAACCGCCAAAAAACAGAGTCACGTTGTTCTCTACTTCAAAAATACTAAATAAAAACTTGTACATAAACGCTGAACTGTATATTAAAAAAATAAATTAAAATTCGGATTAAATGACCCTGTTGCCCTTGTTTCCGGCTTGGACCGGTTCATGTAATTGCTAGACAATTTAATTTTGGTGAAACATCAATAAATTTTAAATAATAAGCTTATAAATTGTTTGGTCTTTCCTCCTTTTTTATTTTTTATTTTTTATTTTTAACCCAAAGATCTTCTACTCTAGTGTGAATTACATAAAGAGTCAAGCATAAATGCATTTGTGTTATGTGTTGAGGGACAAATGTAGATTTTCTAATAATGTTAAAATTACTAAACGTAATACTTTAAAAAAGTTTTGTAGTGTACTTTTTCTAAACGTAACATTTCAATATCACACACTAAAAAAACTCTTCAGTATATTTTTTCTCAAATGTAATAATGTAACATTCCAAAAAAATTCTTTTGTGTACTGTTTCTAAATGTAACACTCCAATTAATGTAACATACAAAACTCTTTAGTGTACTTTTTTTAAACGTAATACTTCAATGTAACACACTAAAAAACTCTTTAATGCGTTTTTATCAAATGTAACAACGTAATATTCTCAAAAAATTCCTTAGTGTACTTTTTCTAAATGTAGCACTTCAATTACTGTAATACATAAAAACTCCTTACTGTGTTTTTTTTTTCCAAACGTAACACTATAATATTACACTCAAATCTAGTACTAGAAAACCACACTAACAGAAATATAGATTTTCACACTTAACAACCGACACTTCAGCCACCAATCCCCCCAAGAAGAATCTTTCACACCTCATATTTCCATTTTCATCCCAAAAATGAATCAAAAAATTAGAAAAATGAATCACAAAAGAGTATTTACTTAAACTTAAATGGCACCAAATCAAATAAATATAACTATCCAAAACAAAAAAATGACTAATTGATTCATAAGAAAACTCTTAAAACTAAATGGATCAACATTCTCTCATATGGGATTAGTGAATAAATTTTCCATTTAATTTAGAGTGCTCCTATCAACACTTACTTTTATTTTTCTGATCCCTCCACTTTTTTGAACTCCCACCCACTTAAATGAGTGTCCTATATTTTCTTTTTAAACCTACATCTTAATTCCAACCATACCCTTCCTCTTTTGGAGTCCCAACCTCTCTACTGCTAATCCTTCTATCGCCGAAGCCCTCACCGTCGACAATCCCAGCACTGTCGCTTCCATAACCACCCATTCTGTTGCCTCCTTCTTCTTTCATTTTCCTTCTTTTTCACCCTCTCTACTTTAACTTTGGCAAACCACCATCGCACCACCGCGATCTAAAAAATCGTTTCCCCCTCCATTGCCGATTATGCCCCTCCACTGTCACTTCCATAACCACTCATCCCGCTATCTTCTTCTCTTCTCTTTTTCTAATTCTTCTTCTTCTTCAGATGACGACCTAGATTATGACCAACAACCGCAAACCCAGATCGCGATCCACTACCATCATCTATTACATTGCATTTTCCTTTTTCTTCTTCTTCTCTTTCTCTCTATGGTGACTGAGATTGCAACCCAAATCGCGACCCATCACTACCTAAAAACGCTGCCATCACCGCCCACCATCGATTTTTGAATACCCTAAGTCTAGGGTTAGGGTTTCAAGAGAAGTAGAAGAAGATGAACGCCCGGCGATGGAGGTAATGGAAAGGTGGATGACCAACTTGGAGGACAACCGAGGGTGGACGACTAACCAAGAGAGATGAAGAAGACTTCCAGAGGTAATGGGGATAGCTAGTGGAATTAGGGTTAGGGTTTGGAACATTAGGGTTAGAAGGTTGGGGATAAGGGTAAAAATGAAATTTTATATATGGACAAAATCAGAATTAAAAAAAAATAAGAGTAGGAGTCCAAAAAAATAAGATAAGTGCAAATAGTAATACTCTTTAATTTATTATTATTATTATTATTAACTGCTCACCCCCAACCCTAACTTTCCAAATTTTGGCAGAGAGCCACCAATTAAGCTTAGTTGACATTCACACTCAGTTTGTTTTGATTTTTTTTTTAAATTTTTTTTGAGCAATAATGATAATTGTAAAGTTATGGCAACAATAGTGGCGATGAAGGCAATGATGGTAGTGATAGCAACAACAACAAAAGTGGTCTTGGAGGTGATCTTGGTAGTAGTTACGGTGATAATGGTACAAAGAAGGTGGCGGTAAAGAAGGTGTTTGAAAATTATTTTTTTCTTAAACCAACTCATTTTTCATTCCATCAAAAATCCTTTTCCTCGACTTTTTATTTTTATTTTTTTATCATAGTAAAATTCAAAAACATACCTACATACATTAATTCTAGTTTTGCACATGGTTTTTTCCTTTTCAAAGTTTAACAATAAGTGACGGAAGAACCGCATTGCAACATAATTGAAAGTATATGTTTAAATTGTTCAAATTAAAATTACAAAAACTAAAGTGATACTTTGCTTAAATTGTAGGGACTAATGGTGCAATTTACCCTAATAGAAACCATTACTCAACTTGGTTTAATCGATCACCAAGGCACGGGTTACGACTGTCTATGGGTGGGGAGAGGTGGGACGTGCGAAGGGAGTTGAATGCGACTTGAGGAATTGCAAGGTTAGGGTCCAATAATCCAACTACCTGCCGGGCCAACTGCTTTGATGTTTTTGAATTTATATTTCAAGACAATAATTATAAACCATACAAATTTGACTGGAATCCAAGTTTTAAAAGTAAATTCTTCTTAATTTTATTTTCAAAAATACTATTGTACTTATAAAAAAAAAATGTTCAAATGTAAAATTGAAATTTGATAAGATTTGAATTACATTGACAAGAAATTTGATTTGCACTTTAAATTAAGAGTAATGCTAGAAATCCTAAATATTCTACCAAAAATTTTATCAAATGTTTCACATGAATGTTTCACATGGGTGTGGTACCCACACAATGTGAGTCCCATGTGAGTCCCACACCCATGTGAGACATTTGGTAAAATTTTTAGTAGAATTTTTGAGATCTCTAACATTTTTATTAAATTAAACATGAACGTGAAAAACAATAAAGCCAGCTGGAATGAGTGATGCTTTTGGTGGAGTGGGGGTAATTTGTTTGTGTGCGGGAGGAAGGGCAACAAGGGCAAGAAAGTGAGGTGATTTGTGAGCCGTATCTTCTGAGGTAGGATAGGATGCTGTATTTATTATTTTTGTTAGTAAGGTTATGTTAAGTATTTCAAATAATTTATTAAATTTTCTATCAAATCTCTCACACAGGTATGAAACTCACACACATGTATGTTTGTATAAGTCTCACACCCATAATATGAGAAGTTTTGTAAAAAATTTGATAAATTATTTAGAATTTACAACATTTTTCTTATTAGTATTAGTATTAGTATTAGTATTAGGAGAAGATACCTAGAATCATGCTAAAGATTACACATGGCACGATGGTTGTCATCTTCTATATAATCTCCTCCATTTATAATTGTGTATTTATGTATTTATCACAATTAGCCTATCACCCATGCTATGCACGAGATAATTATAGATATTTATATTTGTGTTAGATTTTTTTTAATATATAAATTATGTTTTTTAAGATTTTTTTATAAAAATAATTTAATAATCTTATCACTAACCATAGTGTATGAGAGAAGTTGAAAATGGTACTGCAGTAACTATACACGGGTTGTATCTATAATTATTTGTATGAGGGGATTTTGACCAAATCAATAAATACAGGTGTGTGGAAAGACATGTGGATTGAAAAAAGTTAATAAATGCTAATTAGAGAATTTTGACCAAATCAATAAATGCTGAGTTTTTTTTTTTTAAATAAAAAATTTAGAAAATTCAGATTGGGATATTGGAGCTCCCACAGGCCTTGGGGTTAAAAAACCCCTTTTGCTTAATATATAGTATAGACAAGAGGTGATTACGGACCGATTGATTCGTCAAAATTGAGTGATTCAATTCAATTTACTTATTTTTAAGTGATTTTAATAATATGAATGGACAAATACAAATGACATTTTTTAAAAAAATTTTATGTTCGGATGAATGACAGATGAGAGGCCACTCAATTGAATTCGATCTACCAACTCCCCTTAGGACAATGATGTTATGTTTTCATGTTACCTATGTAATGCCCAAACTTCCGGGCCGTTAATAAATCTATTAGGTTTTATTTCTTGGCAATCCCGTTTGACAAAACTCCTTTCAGTTGTATTTCTTTTCGCACTTTTATTTCAGTGAGGCTATGAGTGTTTAGATGCGAATCCAACCCGAATTGTGCCATTCAGAGAAGTTTGTGATGCTAATGCTCTCAAGATTGCCACTTCGCTGATTATTACGGGGGTCGAGCTGCCCGGTCAGCTCGCGGCCCGAAGCAAAATGCAAAAATGCATTCAAAGTTGCCTGTCCGATCATGTTATATTTTTCCAGTTTTTCCAGTTTTGGCCTTCCCGCTCGAGCCGGGAAAGGGACGCTCGAGCGGGGATTGGAAGCTCTCAGCATCTCTGCAATCGCCTGAAAAAGTACTGGATGGTGTGATTCGACGCTCGAGCGTCAAAACCGCCGCTCGAGCGTGGAGCCTGTATGAAATCACAGAATTTGAAGTCTCCGCTCGAGCGGGAAAACTCACGCTCGAGCGGATCGCGCGATCCCAGATTTCCAGATTTGTTAAGGAGTTGGTTTTCTTCTGAAATTAGGATTGCTTTGGTTTTCTATAAATAGTTGGTTTTCTCCCAACACTAAAAGACTTTTCTCCAGATCTTATTTTTGGATCTTAAGGTTTAGATCTGGAGAGATTTTGCTAGTTTTCTTTGATGTTTTGATTGAGTCTTCAACTCATGTTCTAAAGAGAGTACATCAAAGGTTGTGTTTTGTTCTACAAAAGAGAGTGTTGTTCTTCAGTTGTGTATTCTGAAGAATTCAAGCCTGAAGCTGTGGTGGAATCCAGAGTG